TACCAAAATTTCATTAACTGATATAATGTTAATACACCAACCTATTGAAATACTGAAATCTGGTTTGTAACTTTGTAATAAACTGATAACCACCAAATGCAGGTGGTGATGAATAAGTCACATGATGAACCAAAGCAGCTTTTAAATAATAACATGTATAGAAGGTGCACAGTGTCATTCACACAAATGCTAAACACCATCATGGTAACACACATGAAACTGAAATAACGCAATAAACATTCATTTAACAACATTAGGTGTAACACACAACCCTAATATACAAAACTGATAAGAAAAAACTAAGAAGAAACATAGTTATTTCAACAAAAAAAAACATCAAATTTGAAATGTAACGCAGGGAATTCTGGGAATGTCAATTTACGGTTATTCACTGTAAATTATACAGTCTTTTTCACTTCCAAAAATGGTATACTACCGTAAAATTAATGTCCAATACATGTAATGTCCAATACGGTTTTTCACAGTATATAGTAGGGGAATTTACCATTAACCATTTAACAGGTTTTTACTGTAGCATTTTTACAGTCTTTTACCATAAAATTCACGGTCCTTTCTTGCAGTGTGGATTAGCCTATATGATGAGATCTTAAATGGATAGTTCACGCAAAAATGAAGATACTGTCATCATATACTTAAACTCAAATTGTTCTAAACCTCTATGAATTTCTTTGTTCTCCTCAGCATAAAAGAAGATATTTGGAAAAATTATCGCAACCCGTTTCTGCTCCCCATTGACTCCAAAATTTTATTTTTTATACTATGGAAGTCATGGAGGCCCAGCAACTGTCTGATTACCAGTATTGTTCCAAATTATTTTGCATTCAACAGCAGAATGAATCTCATACAGGTTTAGAACAACAACAGAATTTTTGGGTGAACTATTCCTCTAAAGCAGCATAATATAGCCTAGCTGTTGTTGCCATTTGTGTCAATAATGTAACTCAAACATCAGAAAGAAAATCACTTACTCTCCTTGACTGCACTTTTGAAAATCGCTTTTGTAAAATAAATAAGAATGACTGTATATTGAATATATACAGTGGAGACCATTCAGTCTATTTGTACATTTTCTTTATACATCATAATAGCCTAAGTTTTTCAAGTAGGTCAATTACTTATGATCTTTGTTCTGTTGTAGCCTAATTTGTGACTGTTTACTTGTCTTCAGTAAGTTTATTTTTACTTAGGTTAGTATTATTTTTTTGTGATATTGAAATTGGTAACGAAAATAATGAAATTTCAGTGCATCAAGAATTTTGATATGGGATAAAAATATTATTTAAAGCTATATATGTCAGGGGCTGGCGTCTGGTGTTCTCCCTCTCACCACCAGAGGTCGCCATCTCCCATCCTCCCGGACTCTTTCTCCGTCACCTTGACACCACACACCTGGGCACCCACTCACACACACACACAGCTGTCGCCCATCCGGGACTCCATCACCTGCACTCCACACACCTGTGCACACACTCACTCTCACACAGCTGTGGCCCGTCATGAGGACTATTTAGGCGCCTTCCCCACGCCACTCGGGGCGGATAATTAATGTTTGGTTGAGCTATGTCACGAGTCTGTTTTGTTTGTAGTCACGAGGGTTACGAGTGTTTCGAGTGTCTGTTCCGGGACTGATGCAAGCCAGAGGTGGCCGTATTGCATCAGTGCCCATTTGCGTGTTCTAGCGTGTCTCAGAGTCTTAGCTCTGTTTATGTTCTGTTTTTCCTTTGTTTTCCCTGGCAGTGAATAAAACCTGCATTTGGACCCAAAACCCTTGCTCACACGGTGTGATTCCTGACCGCGCCGTGACAATATATATATATATATATATATATATAATTATTGTGATGGGGGGCCCTGCAATAAGTCATAGCCCCGGGGCCCAGTGCAGTCTTAATGCGGTCCTGCATGTATGAGATGAGAAAATCCCTCACATGTTTCCTATGACAGTTTAAAAATCAGATAAGGTATCATAATCGCTTTTAATCGCTGTGGAGCACATTCAGAACCTTCCAGAAAATGCTGAAAAGTTGCTGATTCTGGCCACCTTTTAATCAAAGGCTTGTAAAGAACAAGACATTACTCTGCCGCTAAAGAGGAAAATATAGAAACACCCATACGTATCTGGCTTGGAGTAAGACTATGATCTTTATGATCATCTCCTCATTAATCTCATTTTCACAATTCCACATTTGGACTTGATTTAACATGATGTTCTTTTCTGCTTTAACAGCCATAACGTGTCTGAAGTCTAACTTGGACAGGGCAACATCAGCGGTGGAGGAGGACAGGCAATGGGCATGCCTTTAAAGTGATAAAGGGGAATGGATGAAGATAGAGGAAAATATAACAGGGAAGCCAAAGGCTGTCATGGTGCAAACACAGTTTGGGACTCCGCACTATATTTGGTAAAAGTACCGCTAAAGTGGGAGGACATGTGTTCTGCATCAGTCTCTTTTATAGAGCTAATGATACAGGTGTAAGCCTGAAATCATTTACATATGAACAAGGGCATAGCAACCAGTTTAACGGGGGGATATGATCATTATATTTCAGGAGTTTCATTTTGCTTGGCCGCAGTTCCAGAGTATAGCCTGCCACATAAAACGACTTCAAGACCAAACAGAAGCATTATCCAAAAGATTGCATTGTCAAAGCACAAGCTGCTGAGCGTTCAATTTTCTCTGTCTTTCACTTTTTCTCTCTCTCCATCTTTAATATACATAATACAATATTTCAAATTTAAGATGGTATGATGTTTTAATAGACTAACATACATGTATAATACAATATTTAGACTTTGTTTTATAAATATTTTTTTATCTTTCTTTTTCTCTGTATTTTACAATGAACCGAATGTTAAAAAAATATTTTGTAACACTGTAAATGTAACTGAAATTTTTTATCAATTTAATTTATAGAATTAATTTATTTCATTCAAAGAAGAAGAAATCTTACTAACCCCAATCCTTTGAACAATGTATGTGCTTTTTGTACTACAAACACAGGCATAGTTAGTCAGTTCGTTTATTTAAATAAATGAAGAGAAGAAGAAGAAAAAATTGGTAGCAAAAGTGAAGTGCCTTGGATTTAAAGTTTCTGATGTTCATCCAAGGTTAACATATTATATTTTTTTCTTCATCCTAAAAGGCTTCTTATCATTACCAGAATCAACTTTTGACGTGGCTCTGTCGTTCCCCAGCTTCAATGTGTTCTTTCTAATTGTATTTACAACACTTCACAGTTTAAGCTGTGAGCAGATCAATCATCGGATATGTCTGACACATACAAAACAGAGCATTTTCAGGGAGACAAATGTGTGTCTTACGTCCTTATGGAGCACAGCAAGTCCAGTATCAAGACCTGCTTTCAAGGCCTTCTGAAGAACCATTGATCATCTGTGTGAAAAATCGATTCACATCTCTGACGCTGGTCCTATAGAGCACAGTAAGTTCCTAAGTACGAAGACCAGGGGGACTTGAGAGGTGATGAAAAGCACAACTTTAGAGTTGGAGGCCTTGGGCAGAACGCATAAGTGTGTCTGAGGTGGGCTCCTATTTGGCATGCCAGGACCTTTCAGGTTAGGACATATTCATTCTACTCAGCAAACCCTGGCAGAACAATAACACAGACTTCATCGAGGATCACACTGTCTGATAAATGAGGATTAGAATGAACATACATTCACCCTGATTGGGGTGAGAGTTTGTGATGTTCATGGAGAAATCCCATGTGATATCCATTATGCCCAGGATAGAGATATGAGACACATATTGATTTAATATTCACCTTAAACGGTTTCAACATGGAGGGTATTTCATATCATGCTGCAGGTTATTTCAGATTATTAATAATTGAGGGGCCAAATGGGATGCTTTATCCATAACTTTTCAACACAATAAAGCAGAAAATACAGGCAATATGTCACAATTATCACAGGCCAGAACGAATGAACTATAAACGAATGATCAACTGTCGAGTGTATGAGGTGGGCATTCACACTGAATTCAGACTAAAACGCTCCATCGTGGTCTCATCTGACTGCAATCTGATCCCATAACACAAATGAGCTGTTTTTATGCTTTTTGGTAAACTCTAGATGTGCCTTCTTTTTAGGGAAGCGTCTTGCGTGCTTCCCTCCCACATGATCCAGTTGACTAGTTCACCTTTATCTGCTTTCTGCTACTGAACTGTGAAGCTAAATAAAAGTGATCTTTGGCTTCGCTCGTGGTTTTGTCTTGAATGATCACCCTGTCTAGGGAGTTTCTTTGCTTTCTGATGTGGCTTCCACTCCCAGATAATAGGACCAATCGTGTCAACTGGAACATCTAACCACTTGAGTAATTCTCTAAATTTCCGCATTTGTTTTACTTTATCTCTGAAATGGTCCTTACTCTTCATTTTAACAGCCGTCCCTCAGATTTACAACCCTTAACTGCAGGGCATTTAGCCATAAATTGTGGTGGATTTTTTAATTCACAGGTAGAGATAAATTATAGGGCAAACTGTATTGGGAATTTCCTTGCACAATCAAAGCCTCTGAATATCTTTAGAAAATATGAATGCATTTTTATTGCATTGTTTCATTATTTTCAACATAAAATACAGCCACATTATTTCATTTTGTGGTTCAGTCTAAGTGCTGGAAAATTCAATTAAAATGAATTTAGATTTCATATATTCACGTGCAGTCAGTTTCCTTTATCACAAACTAAACCCTGGCAGGATGATCAAGACCCCAGCGTGAGGCAGAGGGATCTTGTTTCACCCTGAAGGGGTATAATTTGCGATAACGACTGGAAAATACTGAACGTATATTATCCCGCTTATTACACAGCTACTTCCCAAATAAATGGGCATTAAGTGTTTTTTTTCTCCTTTTGGTCTTTTAGCCTTTATTGTAGAATACAGCAGAGGCAGACAGTTATAAGTGGATATTATATATCTCAAATGTTTTGTATAAGCTCATTTCATAATTTACCTACCTGTCTCAACTTTGGAGTGATCAGTCCGCTCTGTCACCTTCTCTTGACTGATTAGGTAATCAACAATTCTCACTCCGATTGGTGGCTCTGCATGAATCCATTCTATAATGACCAATGAACTGCTGGGCTCATATGAATGGGATAGCTTGAGCCTGGAGTACAGGAGTATAAAATCAACATCGATTATTTATAACTTAAAGGGGTCATATGATGTTGCTAAAAAGAACATTATTTTGTGTATTTGGTGTAATGAAATGTGTTTAGGCGGTTTAAGGTTCAAAAAACACATTATTTTCCACATACTGTACATTATTGTTTCTCCTCTATGCCCCGCCTTTCTGAAACGTGGCGATTTTTACAAAGCTCATCCGTCTGATAAGCGAGGTGTGCTCTGATTGGCCAGCTATCCAGTGCGTTGTGATTGGCCGAATACCTCAAGCATGTAACGGAAACGTTACACCCCTTACCATACTGTGATGCCTTGTCCCGGCCGGAGCGATGAGACAAAATCATTAAAATCCATTATAAACGAGGCATTTGTTGCATCCAGTGGGGACATAACTACGGATTATAATGACATATACTGTTTTTTTACGCGTTGCATCGTGCCACGTAAACATAAAACCATGTCTGCATTTGTGATCGGAGAAATTACAAATAAGCTCTACTCTACACTGCTCAAAACTCGCGTTTGAATCGACAGTGGCAAATTCTTTAAATATAAAAACGTACTTACAGTCTGTGAGTCAGAACAGTAGAACAGTCTGTGAGTCACACTGTAGTCTACTCTACCAGGATCAGGAAACAGTCCTCCATAAATTGCGCTGGACACATCGGAATATTTGGGTTGAACTGTTCTGGAACAGTGTTGTAAATACAACTTAACCACTGATTTCTAGTCGTGTCCTCTTTTGGAAGGCCAAACAAAGTAGTTTCGCTTTCACAACGAAACACAGCGTCACACACGGCGGGCTAGAGTGAGCGGAGGCCGGAGGCTTAGAGTGAGCAGAGGCCGGTGGCTAGAGTGAGCAGCGGCCGGCGGCCTAGAGTGAGCAGAGGCCGGCGGATAGAGTGAGCGGTGGTTTTTAACATCTTGCTATTTTTAATGAAAAGCACAGTATTGTGTCCCCATCACTATACTGGTGCAATAGGTCACACACAGACCACCTGCCAATTTCAACTTCACTAAAACATTGTCCACCCCGCAACCTTTGTTTTCCCCAGGAGGTGTCCCAGCCTGGCTAATCGCTGCTTAGCTTCAGTGGGGAACCTGGCAAGAGCTGTGGGGTGAGAGTATAACATTATGCGTCACAGATACCTGGTAGGTCTCGTTGCTGTTGACCAGTTCGTAGACTGGCGTGGCTTTAGTGATGTTGAGCAGCACAGGTTCTGCAGGACGTGCAGGCCCAGGGCTCATGTGGCAGAGGTGGCAGGACAGAGGGCACTGGCCCTGGCTGCTGCAGTCCGCGCCACACACACACGCACACGCACACACGCACACGCACACACAAATAACAAACCACAGAGATTGTATGAGCCAACAGTGTGAAAAGAAAATACAGTGTGAGAACCCATTATTCCTTCAGCCTTTCGCAATATCAAACAGGCCACGTTTAGCCCAACATTTTGCATGAGAGACACACGAGGAAATGAAAACGCAGCACCCCATAGTACACTTAATAATAAAGCAACAAAAGCACTTTGAAAAATGCAAACATATCAATCAGTCCTACCAAACCAAGTTTTGTTTGAGATTTGCTTTGAGATCCAGTTGCAAATTTTACTTATTTAATTTAAGATTTAATTTATTTGGGGATAATCAGAGCAGTTCTTTCTTTCTTATTCAATATCTAAATGGGTTCTGGTCTGCAGAAGAAGTGCAAATAGTTATGTAGCTGGCTTTTTGGGATGTCAAGTCATCCTACCCACTCTCAAGCTCTTTACAAAATAAAACAATTTATTAATTACTCATATAATTCTAAATCATCTAAATTGTATCTTCCACTGTATTTCTTTGAAATAAAGCACTGTAGCTGTGCCAAGAAAACAAAAAGCTCTTAAAAAGGTTCCTCAAAGTTAATGGATTAAATGACCTGTAAATTGCAAATTTTGGATGCTAATCAGAAAGCTTGAGCTCCTTAGAAAATACTAATGTGTTAAAAGTGTTTCATCAAATTCAATGCCAGCTGTTGATTAAGAAGGCATTACCAATATTACGCTTAGCTGGTGCTTTAATTAGACAGAGTGAGAGAATTAAAAAACAAGAAGAAGTGGGGAAGAAGAAATAGGGAAGGCTGGAAGAAGAGAGCAAGAGAGAGAGAAACAGTGGGAGAGCTTCACACTCTACAGTGTGCCAATTTGCTTCGACATTTTCTCTACAGCTCTGGGTTTTGACAGTTATGAAACCGGCTTGATGCATTGCAGGCCAAATTAAAATAGGAGAGTGAAGGAAAACATCTCATTAGATAACTTTCATTTTAGTCAGTTGATTTGCATGAAAAAGCACGGAAAATCTTGTCATCTGTAGTGTCTTTTTAAGTTTAGAGCTCTTCTCGGTGAAGAAAAAGCCTTTGATATTCTCAGTGGTTTGAAGGATTGCCATTTATGATTGCATGCAAATTGTCAGCTGTGACAAAGGTGAGCATTTGGAAATTCCTCGGTACCACAAACCAGCATATTTTTTTATCAGCACCAACTATAGATATTCCCTAAAATAAGACCTGTGCCTAACAGCCAAAACACTAGATGGCACAAGAGCTCTAGGAGGGGATGCCAACTGCACATGAAAGCAGAAGGGAGGGGGTGACCTAACAAATTGCATTATCATGTCGGCAGGTATCCGAAAACACAATCTGCATGATAAAGCACGAAGATAATGAATATTGCTTCCCCTTTTCTCATGTTTTTGACAAGTATGGAAAAGCATGAAACATCAAAATCGAAAGTCATGAATTGCTCTGCATGTAACCAAAATCCAAGGAGCTTTCGGTCAATAATCAGGACATTTAAGCACCCCAGTCAAGCAATTTAAATGTGTTGCAATGCGTCTAGGCTCAGGATGTATTTGAACATTCTAGCAAAGACTTGACAAGCTAATCTCACAAGAAAGATGTTGCATGATGATTATCACACAGTCCTTATTCAAGCACCTGCTTTGTTTGGAGTGTATGTGGATTGAGTTTTAAATATCCAATCACAGGGAGCTCAACGCTAGTCCACAATAACATGTAAATACTCTTCCAGCCAGTCTCTTTCCATCTCACTTCTCTCGCCTCTCCCGACCAGCTTTTCAATCTTCCTTGTGTTTGTTTTATTCGACCGGTTTACACATGCAGCTGCTGGTCTTAACTGACATGCCCCTCTGTCTCTTAATAAAAGCTGCCGGTGTGGTACAGGTGGGAGTGACTGGGTTTATTTACCTGTGATTGGACCTGCCTGCAGACACAAAGAGCAGTGACATCTTGTTTGTGAGGTGCGAGGGCTAAACTAATTCATCTGTTGGCACGGTGTAGCTGGTAACACTCCCCGGGATCTCACTCTGCAATCCGACCTGACCTGCTAGACTGAGGGGCTTGAATCTGAAGCAATTTGCAATAGATTCTGAAATGCCTCACATAGAAGTGACAGGGGGCTTTATTTTTATTCTCAAACAAGAACAATGAGGCTTATATCTAAGCCATATTCCACGGTAATTGTCACAATGTACAATACAGGACACTGTTTTGAGCTGTAACTGTAAGGAGGAGAGACTGACAGGCAACAATTTAGGGATTTTTTTTGGCGATAAAACCAGGTGAGAATGACTCACATCAATGCAGGTGGTGATTGTGCAAACATTGTTAACGGGAACTAAGTACCAGGAATGTAATTTGTGTTGTGCACTACACAACATAAAATTATTTTTGCTGTTTTTTGCTTTAGTCATAGTTGGATGTCTTTAAATGTAGTCAATATTTCGGCATCCCATTAATGTTAGTCATCAAGTAATTTTAATTGGCACCAATTTTTTTGTTTAATTTACAAAAATAATGTTTTAGAGGATGAGTGCAAAATGGCTTTTTTTTCTTTCTAGACTTTTCTTCCTTGAAAAACAACTTTATGGATAATATCTTGCAGTGCTATTTTTTCTCATCATATTTTCAACATTTATTTTTAAATAAAATTTTAAGGAAATAAGAAAATTCTATTCAATAATAATGTATCAACATTTAACTACATGCGAAAATTCTTTGAAAAACTAAAATCCTTTATGTGACCAATAATATTCTTTTTAAAAACAAAAGGGAATTGTTAATATCTTGCATTTTTTTCTAATCATATTTTCATTAACATGTTTTATTTCTATAATAATAATAACAACAATAATAATAATAATAATAATAATAATGCACATTTCTCAACTTCTATAACATTAAAGTAATTAAAGCCTTCATTAAAAAAAACATTTTTGACATTTTGATTAATGAGATTAACACTCCATTTAGATTTCTAGTTGTAGCTGCAGGTTTAGGAGAGCGGACCACTGGAACCCCTACAGCCACAGTGCCATAATCAAACATTTGCAGTCTGCTGTAAGTATCCCTTGGAGTTAGAGGACGATCTCAGCAACAGGGATTCTGTGCCAGCCAGGTGCAGTTTCCCGGGTCTTATCTGTCTGTGCACGGCAAGCAGCTGGCATGCTTTTCATGAGCGGATTACATGCTAACGGTGCTGTTCGCTCATACTATCATTTCCGCTTTTCGGGGGACATGCCGACCTTCAAGCACGGCTCAAAACTTTCACCCCTTTTAATTGATGGATGATTTAGAGGATGTGTGAAAGACTTCTGAAAGACGACGAAGAAACAAGATGAAATGCGAAACGACAGATGCATTAATCTGAGATTAGAGTAGAGTTATTAGCCTGGGGAGCATTAGATTGTATAGTGAGGGGAACTCTGAGACAGAGATGGGCTCTGCCATTTTCTTATTTCACTTCTCTGTCCAAGGCTAAACTATTTTGAGTCTTTTATACAAAAAAAGAAAAAATTGTCAAGAGTGCTGAAATATGCATTATACCTCTTATCCTCGCAGTGTAGGATGATCCAACCTGTCTCTGATAAAGAAAAGGTGCAAAAATATTTTGAATGTGGAAGATAAACTAATTTCACAAACAGATTGAATTTTGCAGTTCGGATAAGAAACATAATGGTTTTCTCTACGTGTTTGTTACAGATACTGTTTGTAAAACAGGTTGTTTCCAGAGTTTTTGTTGTACATTTAAACATATTATAACCAATAAATATTCAAAGAGACAGTTTCAAAGAGTAACATTTGGACATAGTTTACGGACCCTCAAATCAATGGGGTCCAAAAAAACTTTGAAAGGAAGTCATAAAATAATGTCTCCAGAATTATGTGTTATCACATACTCACCTTCAAGTCAATGGGCCTCACAAAACTTATGAAAAAACAAAAAAGTCATACAAGTTTGGAACGACATAATGGTGAGTAAAAAATGACAGAATTTTTGTTTTTGGGGTGAACTATCCCTTAAAGCAGAACTTAACAAGCAAATGAACAGCAACAGGGGACAACCAGCTGGTTTGCAGACAGTCATCCACCAACTGATAAGGATAGAGACATTAACTACAGTACCAACCAACAGCAAAGAGACTACGGCGGCCTCCAGAAATGCTGTCAGAGTAAACAGGTCGTACTTTTGTTTTGTTTTTTTAGCACTTTTCCTGTGACCTAGACCCATGAATTCCTAAATATTCAAAATATTTTCCTCAATACGTTTTAAATTCCTCCAGGTGCTTCTATCAAAATTGAAGCATGCACTAACCCAGCACACACAGCGCAGCAGAGGCCAGTATTATTCAAGAGTGTCTGTGCTGCCGGTGTGAGAAGACGGTTCCACAGTGACCGGTCGAAAGATTAATTAAGAAGAGAATTCACTGGGGTCCGGTTTGTCCTGACCTCTAAAATGAGTAATCAGGGCCAGGAGATGACTGCTCCATCAGGTTCCTGTCTCAAGCCCTCATTCTGTCACACAAACACATATAAGCACAGGTCACCCCGTGTTGACATGGCAACTGGCCTGCTCATTTTTAATCTTTTCTCCCCATTGTACTGGCTACATTCAGCTCTCTTGGCTTCAGCTGTACGAGGCCCAGAGACCCTATAAAGTGAATGTCGTACATGAAGTCTTAACTCAATAAAAATGTATGCATGATTAAAAACCTATACAATTAGATCAAAATACATAAATAGTAGAAATAAACTTGGGCTTTCCAAAGAGAAGATTAGTTAAGAATGGAATGAATCCAGACCTTTTGCTGAACCCAGCATAGTGGTATGACACTGATGACCTGGACTCATATATAATACAGAACAAGCCCATGCTGAAAGTATACATAATGCATACAGCATAGCA